GGTCGATCTCATTCAGGGTTTTTTAGAAGATAAAGTTGAAATAAATATTCACTTATCATCAACTAGATGTGCAGTAAAACCCAATCAAAGCAAACAGAAACTGACTGAAGGGCCTCCATTGCACATCAGAACGGTTTGATGACAGTTTCTTCGTTAGTATTAACTATGACTTTATTTTCACATCCTCGTGGATTATTCTGTATCTGCAACAGTGTCACCGGTGGGGCTGTGCACATACTGATGCATCTCCAGTCTCTGTTTTAATGCATTTCCCTTCACTTTCAAGTTTTTATCATTTCATCACTGCAAGACTTAGAATTAAAAAGCAGTTTCTCCTTTACGTTAAAGACAAATTTATACATTTAATTTTGCCAATTCGATATATACATTTGGAGGAGGGGCTTATCACAACGTGCTTTTGTGAATGAACTCTGGTTTCCAAGCTTGTGAAGGTTTTTCCAAGAACAGAAATCATTCAGCTTGTGAAAATGCTGAAAAACATACATACTTTGCATTTTAACAGGAGGGAAAAATGTCACGTACAGAAAACGTTGATGTGCTGGTGAACGTTTTCACCTTGAACGTTTTCACCTTGAACGTTTACACGGCGCTTTCTGCTCTGCACAAAAGCGCCGACGCTGACAGCGACTTCACTTCCATCCTTCTTTCATGCACTCACTCTCACGCTCATTTCTGTAATTGTCAAGAACATTTTCTGTTTTTTTTCTTCGTATAATGTCAACCACCTCTTTGAAAGGAACGCCTTGACATTTTGAATTTCAAAGCTAAAAGAGTTTTCAGCCCCGTCACACTGATAGGTTTGTAGGTGTGTTAAGGTTGCATCTGGAGCGAAGCTCTGAGATACAGGAGATCAAAGATCGAACATCCCAGCAGGAGAAAACCTTTGAAATATTAAACCCCAACGTGCTTTTTTTAAAAATAAAAAATGTCACCATAAAAGTGTAAAAGCAAACCTAACGATTACACAAACGCACGGCGAGCAAAGCAAGAGGAAGCTTTCAGTGCAAGCCGAAACATCTGAACACGCTTTTACACTTTAGAGAAATTTTAAGCCGACATGAAGACGTTTTCTTTCCTTCACAACAAAATTTCGAGCTCAAGCTGAAAACGCCGACGCCTCTGCGTCGTGTTTCCGTACTTTGCTGCGTGGTGAAGCGGAGGACAGCGCGCGGTCCTTTGAACTGAGTTTGTCCCCAGTGAGACACAGCCTGAACCTCCACACTGTAGCTCCTGTTGGTCCTCATGCTGTCCAGCTCCACCTGGCTCTGTGCACACAAACACACACAGACACACAATCAGGCACACACCACACCACTGATTC